ACGCATTTAGGCTATTTACTCAGTTACGAGGAATTTCTTTTTTTGAATTAATACGAAGCACAAATCTTCACAAACCCAAAACAACAAGCAGTCACATCTAAGCCGCTTTCCACGCTGTCAGATTTTTCATTGCAGGGATGCAACTGGCAAGGAACACAACGCGATTCTATTTTTCCGATACGTCTTATAAGCAATGTTTCTAATTCTTTTTCATTTACAAAAGGTGAATTTTCTGAATTTATTGTCGTTTATAGGATTTCCTTGTACATATTTCCATTGTTCCTGAACAAGTACCAAGCAGAATTATTAAATGAAGCTACAGCAAAAAAGCAATATGCAGCGTTTTCAAGCATTTCTATAAATAGAGAGTAGCGTGTAACTAGAAAACTGAGCCCGTTAGGCAAAAATTGATTTCATATTCGAATTCACTGCCCTAATGTTAGCTAAGAACACTATTCACACTCTTTGTTATAAAAAAGATGTTGACCAGTGTTATTGTTTTAACATTTTGAATTGAAAACTTGTTTTTATTGATTATATATTATGCGAATAGTAACTTTACTTGTCATAGCAGTTGTAACCGCCTCACATTGCTTAAATCTGATCGTGTGTACCCCCCCCTTCCACGAACCGTAGTCTTGTGCCCTTGGCCGGTGCTCGTGGGAACCCATTGCTGCGCAGTCTCCTAGTTGACGCGATATAACTTTGGTATCTCAATAATCCCGGTTCTTAGGCAAAAAGGTGGCTATTTTGTTCAAGTGAAAGCAAAATAATAAAAAAGAACGTGTTTTGGTACTACCTCAATTACTTGGAATACATTGAACATGAAGTTGAGTTCTTATCTCGTTATTGTTTTTGTTCATGTTGGAAACGTTTACTGTAGAAAACTTAATTTTACCATGTTCACGGTTCAAGGTTGAAATTTCCATATTTATCTTGAAAAAATTTTAAAATTATGATTGTGATACAAATTTTAAAGAATTGTGAAGACTTAAGGTGCCCCGAAGCGAGACCTGCAAAATCACACCAGGAAAAACCGGTATTTATTTATTTGTACATTTATTTCTTTAGGCAGGTATCGTAGGGCCTTAGTTAAGTTCCTCTCTGCAAATGCATTTGACAACCGCCTTGTACTTCATAGCAAGCGAGGAATCCTTACGAGGCATCACCTTTCATACTGAGAGAGCTCTCTTTCCTTTTTTCTTTTCACCTTCTCATTCTTTCTCCCCTTATAGTCTTTTAAAAATCAATAGCATAGGCTGGTGGCGTTTTCGTGGGAGTGAAGGCAACCATTGATGTGTTTAAAACTATTGTCGAATCCACATTATTTCTTAGTATGAATTAAAGAAGAAAATATTCTTTGAGGACTACCGCATTTACGCGAATGTAATGCGCACCTCTTTTTGACCAAATGTAATACTCAAAATCGTGGTGCGCATTAGATTCGATAGCGCATTAGATTCAAGTGCAAATTCCTTCGTAGAACACCAGTAACTTCATTCAATTTTTCCGTTTATTACGTCACAGTGGATTGCTGGAGTTTTGAAATTCAACTTTCATCTAACACTGGCCTATTGTTGAAGGTTTTTAGGTTTACGAAATGGAAGGCAAACAGAGAAAAATGTCTTATGATGCTTCATTAAAGCGTAAAGGAGTTAAAAGTAAAGCCGTTAGAATGTTAATACATACGATAAATTCACTGTTGCATCACATGAATTTAAATAAAATACCTTACCTATTATTCTATTATTGATGCGCATTGCATTCGCTACAAAACCTTTTTTCATTTTAATTGTGTCAAATATGGAGTGCGTGTTTGATTCGATGGCACATGAGAGTCGCGAATAAACGGTATTTTTATATTTATTCGTCATTTTCAATTATTTACCATAGCGGAGATGATCAAATCATGCAACGTTAACTATAGTTATGGAGAGTAATTTGCTGACACATGAAATAGATCCAGAATTTATATGCCAGAAGTGCTTTCTAAGTGAATCGTCCCGGCATTTTAAGAGTGTAAAACGCCGTTTAGTAGCGATATGATAGCTTAAGAATATCTGAAATTGTGGACTTACTGATAACTTCATTGTGCTATACGTGTTTATTTTTATAAAGAAATGTTGGCTACATAATTACCATATTTATTGTTATTACCACAGTATTTTGAATATATTTAAATTACAGAAGAATATTCAATGGCCTGTATTAACTAATTAAATATCTGTAATAATGGTTTTGGTCTTATGTACGTATATGCCAAAATTAAGTACACAAACATAACAGCGTAGATTCAATCTTATTATTTAACTTATATTTATAGCCCGCTTCTAGAGATTGTAAATTCTTGACACTTCTCCTGAGAAGTGTTGAAAGTATGTTGCATGCTTCATACGCCACACAGGTTACTGACGTACCGTATAATCCTTGCACTCATCTCAATCTCATAATGACAACTCTATAAAAATAATTATGCTGCAACGAATGTTTCTTGCTAGATAATTTTTTCTAGGTCTCTCTGATTAAATACATTGATTCTTGAAAAAAAAAATACCTATTATTTCGCGAGACCTCAAAATGTTTGAGATTTAAACAACGGCAACGCGTGCTTAGATTGTGCGGTTGCATAACCACCAGCTAATTCTAAAATACTTTCATATGTTAGGAATATCTTTTTTCGATTTAATGTCATTCAGTAATCGAGATTTTACACCAGAATATATGAAATAATTTTGAAATCAAAGAGCGCCCGTCAAATGTCCTCTTTTGGATGTACATGCAAGCCAGTCAACGCGCCAATGTGTGACGTCACGTTTATGAACGTTTGAAATTGTGAAGCACGAGACATCCGACTGGCCGCGCGACTCTGTGCCTCAGCATTGCAAGCACTCGATCGGTTCCTCGTGCAGTGTTTGTATCTCAACCATACATGGAAAGCGTGTCACACTTACACCGCAAGACATTGGGCCTCAACGGAATTGGAGAGGAATACCTGTTTTATGTCTTCGTCTAAATATCACTATAAACAACGCGAGTTTTTGAAGGTATAGAAGTTCAATTTTTGACTGTATAAAATACTCCATTTACGATGTTTGGTGATCTTGTTTTGTATGGTGTAAGGTTTATTGATTCCAAATATGCATTTGAGGAGTTAGGTTTTTGTGTGGATAAGTTGACCGCCTTGAAAGAATTTTTCTATAAGATCTGTGGATGTGTTGGCGTGCAGTTCTCTGCAGTTATACTCGAAGTGATTTTGCTTCATTACTCATATGAGTGTGGGAATTCGAACCACAAATATTCTCTGTGATTCTGTTTTTTTACTGTTGTTATTGTGGTTGTCGTCGTCAATCTTACTGTTTCCGTTGCTTGTGATCAGGGACCGACCAATCTTCTTCCTCAACGAAGTAAGAAGGTCTTCCAATTTTTGTTTAATTTTTTTTTGCGATTTTCCCCCTTAATTAATAGTGAAGATTGGGTGTGTTTTCAGACACTGAATTGAGGGTAAAATTTAATAAAATGCGTTTCGGTTCACGGCCTATAGAAGAAAAACTGGGAATAAAGAGACCAGGAAAGCCTGTTCCAAATTTTCAACTTTTATTCAAAATATTAAATATGAAAAATGAATCTAATCAAAAATTCATGCAGATGCTAATGTGGGGGTGATTGTACGGCAGATATGAATTGCTATTCCGGGATATTATTTGGGCTTGTCGGTACATAGACGATGACTGGCTTTAAGGAATAACGAGTCTCTTCTTTTTATATTTAAAGAATTTAAACCACAATGTAGAAATATCGAATAAACATGAAGCTTCTGTAACCCGCAATGAAAACAGTTTGCAATTAACATTAACCCCCGTCTTTCGGGGCACAAATTCACTGGATTCAAAATGAAACAGGCAGGGAGCGAGGAAGAAAGAGAAAAAAGAAAAAGAGATAAGAAAAGAAAAAAGGCAAAGAGAAACCATCCTAAAGTATTATCTAAATAGATAATAATCATTTTATATTTTCCCGGCACTAACAAGTTCTAGTTTTCTGATACTTGATCGTCAACATCCCGTTTGGGTTTTAGCAAAAAGTAAAAAGAGAGGGAAAGGAGGAGAAAGAAAAGGAAAAGGGAAGAAAGAAAGAAAGAAAGAAAGAAAGAAAGAAAGAAAGAAAGAAAGAAAGAAAGAAAGAAAGACAGAAAGAAAGGAAAATGAAAGAAAGGAAAGAAAAAAGAAATGAAGAAAAAAGGAAAGAAAGAAAAGAAATGAAAGAAGAAAGAAATGGAAAGAAAGAAAGAAAGAAGAAAGGAAGAAATGAAAGAAGAAGAAAGAAAGAAAGAAATGAAAGAAGAAAAAAGAGAAAGAAATGAAAGAAGAAAGAAAGAAAGAAAGAAAGAAATGAAAGAAAGAAAGAAAGAAAGAAAGAAAGAAAGAAAGAAAGAAATGAAAGAAAGAAATGAAAGAAAAAATGAAGAAAGAAAGAAAGAAAAGAAATGAAAGAAGAAAAGAAAGAAAGAAAGAAAGAAAGAAAGAAAGAAAGAAAGAAAGAAAGAAATGCAAAGAAAGAAAGAAAGAAAGAGAAAGAAAAGAATAAGAAAGAAAGAAGAAAGAAATGAAAGAAATGAAGAAAGGAAGAAAGAAAGAAATGAAAGAAATGAAAGAAAGAAAGAAGAAAGAAAGAAATGAAAGAAAGAAAGAAAGAAATGAAAGAAGAAATGAAATAAAGAAACGAAGAAGGAAGAGGAGAAAAAAGGATAGAGAAAAAATATGAAATTTTGAAGAAGAAAAAGGTAGAAGAGAAAAAAGTAGGAAAGAAGAAGAAAAAGAACAAACAGAAGAACTAAAAAGTCGTGTGAGTACTTGTTGACTGCATATGCGCAGTGGATTTCGCTGTGCGCCGCTTCCGAGGGCCGGGGGGGTGGGGAGGGAGGGGGGGGAAAAGGG